TATTTCTTATAAACTCTATTTCGATTTATCTTATTCATAGGCTGATACGTACGATTTAACATACCAGAAACGTCAGCTGTAGAATTTCTAGTTTCGTGATCAAATCACACATAATTGAAGGGAGTGGATGAAAATAGTGCATAATGCTGACGTTTCAAGTTTATTGACATTAAAGTTGAATTGACAGTAATGAGATCTAATGGAATGGCTATTAGCGTCATATAACTAATTTCCTTATACTTATACTTCTTTCGTCAAAACTTTATCTATTCGCTAAAACTAACATCTTTAACTAACTGTACCTTAATGCACTTTGCAACAATTTTAAGATAAGTAAAGATTTTTAAACTTGCAAATAGATGAACTTGAATCTCGATTTAATTTACTCTTTATCTTTTTCTAAAACTAGAAAAAGATAGATAAATTGAACTGAGATTAAAATGAATCTACTTACTATTGGTAAAAATGTACATTAGAAATACAAATTATAATATTAAGGATTAAAGTAAAGTCATAATACACATACATGATATTATATTATATAATGCACTTCTCGCGTAAGCTGCCAAGTTTAAAAATGTAAATATCTTTACTTATCTTAAAATTGTTGTAAAGTGCACTAAGATACAGTTATTCAAAGATGCACTTTGGCAAAAGAATAAGTGCTTTATATCAATGTCAGCGAATAAGTGTTGCCACGAGGAGCCGACACGTGGTCGGAAACGTCTTAAACTTGCAATAGATTCAGAGTGATCGATGAGTCGCCGTCAAGACGTTTTATCGAGAATTGTGGACTCCCGTCATTCCCCTCTAGGATTTTGGAGGAGGAGGATGGAGCGATATTAAGTCTTGAAATCAGCCTTCATCCGAGACCCTAAACGAGCGTTTTTTTGTTCAAATCTACTTTGTCTTTCTCGTTCTTCTCATTCACTTTATTCTTTTCGTTTACCTCGTTATCCTTGTTCACTTCACTATCATTTATTTATTTCATAGATATTATTTATTTATTTATTTTATCAGAATTGAGAAAGTTATGTTTTTGCGCTGAATCCGAATCCGGCTCTCTCTC